GTTGAAGTTGAAGTTGAAGTTGAGGGTCGTCGGGGCTTGGGGTGATGGTCGTCGCCGCCGCTATGGGCTCGAGGCACTCATCTTTGGCTGCCGGGAGTGGTTGATGGTGAACGTAGTCACCCTCTTTAGCCAAACCCTGGCTGAGAACGGACGCGAACATGTCCAAGTAGTCTTCTTGAAAGCCCATGGTTTCGGCAGGTACGTCGATGAACATGCCCCCGTGGCCGTGATCTGGCGAATCCATGGCTTGGCTGATAACGAACTAGCGCTTAGTGCTACTCGAAGCCAAGGACAAAGTTGAGGTCAAGGGTGGACCTATGACAAGAATAAAGACAGCCGGCTGGAGAGGAGGTATTCAGGGATGTCTTGGCCCAGACATTTGGTGACTTGTTGTGATATTGGATTTTTCGAATTATTTAAGGTTCCAGTGAGGTGAGTTGGTGGTGACGATAAGGTGAGAAAATTGTGATAAATTCGAGCAAACCCCGTTTATTGATGAAAAGTAACAGATCGTGTATGAGCAACGCCGGTTTGTAAAAGGGTATAGAATAAAGGGACAATAAGAAGAATCTTTTTGTTCGTATCGTTTGCAGTCTAATATGTGCGAGTTGGTGTTGCGATGTGATACGTAAAAACAGTGGTGCTCAGATATCCATCGATGTTCAGATATTTTGGTTGTCGCGTGGGCGTAAAAGCGAGTGGCCTCGAGAAGGAGAGTGACGGCGGTAAAAGGAGGAGCAGCAAACCAGCCGCAAACAACGACGAACTCGAATCGGATGGAATTTTTTTTTATTTCTTTTTTTTTTATTTCCTTTTTTTTGTTCCCCTCCCTTGTCCACCAAATCCCTCTCTTCCTTCCTGTTGCGGACTGCGGGTTTGCGTGCCCAAGACTGAGTGGGAGACTGAGTGGCTCCTCGTTCGGCTGGGATGTGCAGCGAACGGAACTTCCTCGTGAGGAACGCGTCCCGCGACTGTGGGTTCTTTGTCAACGGTTGTGACGAGGGTTAGCAGCGACAACCACACAGCTGCCAAGTAAAATCAATTGCCCAATCAAAAAACCCGCGTCCCTGCCGTTTGCGGATACTTCAACCACCACATGAACAGGACCCACCAAAGACCGGCGAAGACCCACTTATCTCCGGTTTGTTGCACCGGTGCGCCCGGAACCCAGACCGGAACTCAGGCCGACATGTCATAATCAACGCTCCACGGTTCCAAGAACAGTCCATTACCATAAGCAATCTGTATCTTTCCAAGGCGCTGCATCAATGCAAGTTATTCAGCCCAAATTTACTAAACACCAATAAAAACACCCTGCCAGACTGGGTATTCCAAAGTGCTCCTTGCTCGCTCGCTTGCTATCTAGGTAGGGTATCTTGGTCCCAGCGTACTGTGTATCCGCCTGACTCAATTAGAGTTGGGAGCAATTCCATCGTCGTTTATTCTCCGCAGTCAAGTCCATCTTCTCGGCTTCAAAATTCAGCCATGCCTGTTTCTTTAGGGTTCTGTGTGCCCCCCAGAAGCTCCTTGCCTAACTCTTCTAACAATTCGGGATGGCTTATTGAGCCAAGTATCAGTATGTAGCTGTGTGTTGAGCCAACGCGCAGCAACGACGGCATCTGTACCCTTCACGTCTCCGTCCGTTCTCTTTGCCGGGATGTGCCAAGTGCAGCCTTGTGTCTGCCTGAGTGCTTCGAGCTTTTGCCTCGTTCTGACCAGCATGGTTTGTAGCGAATCATTGACTGGCAGATGAGGCCACATCTCCATAAAATATGCAAACGTCTGCATCAGGACCTTATACTCGGTTTCGCCCGGCTCCCTTGCATTCTCCAAAATACGAGGGTCTAGCCAGGAGTCGACCACCCAGTTTACCAAGCTCAACATCAGTTGGGCGTTGCCCAGACATCCTAGAGCTTGCATATACCGGAATATATGAGGCGCCGTCAGCGTGTACTGTAACGTAGGGAGCTCGAAACATGCTGATGCGCTGCCGTTGGATGGGACCGAAATGGGCCTGACCATCTCTTTGAAAGTGGCATGGAGCTTTTGAGCAGCGAGCCGAATCACTGGCACCATTCTCAAATCTCCGTACTTCTCGGTTGGTGTTGCTGTAGCCATCGCTTTCCTCGTTTCAAATGCCAGTGCAACCGTCGACTTTCGTACCATGAGACTCAGTAGGTCGAAGATGGTGGTATCCAAGCCTTTTGCGAATACCGTCTGCCGATATGCTTTCATAAACACCTTGAGCGTATGCAAGTGTGGATGTGTTGTTCCTTCACCCTCTCTCACAATGTATTTGTCGGTGGCCAAAGCTCGGAGGATCGTGTACCACGGCCGCTTGTCCTGGTGGGCAGCCCTTGCGTTCCCCTGTTGGTACAGTTTGGTGATTTTGATAGCCAGTGGGATATGGTTATGGGAGAACGACTGAGGGTCCGGGTCTGGGTAATTGGAGTGCGTTTTGCACAACAGCTTGATCCACGCATCGAAGACGCGAACGGGGAGGGTATTTAGCTGCTCGACATCCTCGGACCACCCAACCAAAGCTTGTCTCGCAATCGCGCTGTACCCGCCGTCCAGGATGTATTGTAACCCGGCCTCTATTGAGTTGGTGTTTCGAAGTAGAAGCTCGAGGAGACGGTCGTTTGGTCGGATATTGCGCTCCCGCATTTGTCGATACAAGTCATCAGGAGACGGGGGAGTAAGTCTCGAGATCTCATAGGCGCTGAGGTTACCGTCATGAACTGGAAAAACATAATGTCGCGAGTCACCCGGTAGCAGCGGACTATCTGGGGGCACTTGCTCTGCAAACAGCTTTTCCAACATGGCAGCATACACACCGGCAGTAGGCTGGAGGTTGGGTCGAGGAGGTCTCTGAAACTCCGTCCAGGCCTCCCTAACGTTGCGCGTGGCCTCGATGGCTGTAACCCACGTGGCGTAGACAAACATGTTGGGACTGCTCCATTTAGGTGGTCCGTCAGTCCTGGTCATGATCGTGCGCTGTCGGCCGGGCAGTGAACCACCCAGCTTGGTCAACGCCTCATCAATGGGCTGAGAGGGGTATCCGTTTTCAACCATCATGATTCCTGCTTTAGCACTCCTGCTCAGATCTTCTTCACGATCGCGTTGCTCGTCCACTCCATCCCACGACAAACGGTATGGTGGCCAGGTCTTTGCAGACCGAATCATGGCCTTTTCCTCTGCTGGTGTTTTCTTCATCCCCAGCAACACCCTTCTTATGGAGCGGTAGCCGTTCTGGGTAATCAGCAAGTGAGGTCTCATTCTAACAGACGCGGCGAGAAGGACCTTCTGGGCTTCCCAGTTGTAACGGATGTGCTTGTAAGGAGCGATGGGCGTCCTCCTGTCAAGCGCACACAGAGCGCTGTTAAAGATCCGACATCTTATTCTCTGCCATCTCACTGGGTCATCACCTTCGACATCAACGTGGCAGGTCTCCAGGTATGTCGCAACGAGATGGGCAACCGAGATCAGAGCAGCAGGCCATATGGCCGCGCAATGCCACATGAGTCGATACATCATAATCTTGAAGACGTCAGATCGAAATTCTGGGCCAACACGTTGCTGTTCAGGTTTTTGTCTCGGTTCCAGGTAGTGTCGGGAGATATACTCAAAGATGGCGGCGAGGCTCTCCGCTTGGAATATCCTTTTATCGCGTCCAAGAACCATGTTCATGAGAAAATATGGCTTGAAGGTATCACGAGAGACGAGGCGCTGGACGATTTCGTCTCCAGTTTTTCCTTCTAAAATCCATGACCACTCTTCGAGATCGCTGGTGCTGTATCCCTTCATTGCAAGACGCTTTATGCGCCTTGCCCATTCTTGCTCTGTTTCGAGGTAGCTTGGAAGTCCTCTAAGGTGGTAGAAGGAGACTCGAGACTTGCGCCAGTGCGCTACACGCTGCTTGAACATGAACTGTGCCAGACAACCGGGCAATCGAGGAGACTTATTGCTGGCAAGAGCACGGAGAACACACCACTTTTCGAGTGGATATTTGCGAGCTCTGCGCCTGATGAACATGGCCAGCGTCTTGGTAGGCGAAAACGGCGTGAACTTCTTCTCAAAGGGCAATTGAACCCCAGGAACCGGAGGCTCATCTTGAAGTCGTCTTTCACGGCGACTCAATCCCCCGCGTGTCGCATGCCACAGTACCACAGACGGATCGGCCGAGGTGGTGGAAGCGGCGACAGACGGAGTGGGTTTGGCCGGAGCCCAAGCATGAGGTACTCTCTCGCGACGGCTCGATTCCTCTTGAGCCGCAGCTCGCTCTAGCACAGGGAACAGATCGGCCGAAATGGTGGCCGTGGTGGAGGCGTCGAGAGATGGAGCGGGTCTGGCCGGAGCCGCAGAGCCGGTGGGGAGGACATTTTCGGCTTCGGCGCCGGCGCCAGCAAGAGCGGCAGCGGTTGACTGTCTCCGGAAACTACCATCCGGTATCGAAGAAGAGGAGCAAACGGACGACCAAGCGGGAAGCTGCTGCAGTTCAACAACATGGGACATCAGTCAGCGCTCGTGGCCGGCGACAAGGTACCCAAGAGTGAGAGAGTCATGAGGGTTCCACATATTTACCTGGCAGCACCTCGGTGTTGTCGCGAGTCGTCGGCCTGTTGCTTGCACACCTCTTAGGGCGGAACCTTTAGTACCAGACATTGATGTAGGCAGCCAACCATTCTGAAAGGACGGCAGGCTGGCGATGGATTGGAGGGCCTTGCATTGGCGATTTCCAACAGCGTTCGTTTCCTGGCGGTTTTGGGGGGAAATCTGGCTGTTCCCCGAATTCTTTGGCGAGCAGGCGGCGCTCCTGTTGTCCAGATAGGTATTTCCCATTTCATTCGGAACCTGGGCTGCACTAGCGGATGCTACCCCTCATTCCCGTCCCCCCCTGGTTGTGTGCAGGGGCAGCAGGCGGTTGCCGACCTATGTAGTTATCGATAAGACCAAGCACCTACCTCTAGGCCTGCCTGTGTAGTACGGGAAGGGAACCTCTCAGCTGAAATGGACGACGGGAGGTCTGTGCTCCTTCACGTTCACAGTTACTGACATATCGACGGAAAGGGGGTTTGGCGCTGGACCAAGTTCAAGTACAGGTACTTCTGTAGCCTGTGTGTTGATGAGGGATGCTGGGTACTCGATACCGTGTCCTTGGTCAGCCTCCCCCAGTTTCGCCAATGGACACAGCCGCGAGATTGCATTGACCGTTCGTCATCGCAACACTTCCCAATTGCACCAAGTAGTCATCCACGTCACGACAAAGAGGTATCCGCCGTCCTTCTGCGCCGCGCATCCACAGAATGGCCTCTCTCAAGCGAAAACGACACCGAGGCGGAACCGATTCAGGTACGAGCTCGTCTGAGGCTGCGGCGGCGGCGGGTGGTGTTGGCGCCGCTACCGCTGCTCCATTGGCTTCAGGTTCCCCTGTAACCAGGGCGCGCCGAGCGACACGCCAGACATCGACCGCCCCACTCCCCGTGCTTCCCGACCCGGAACCACCCCGACGGCGCCGACGCCGGGACAGCACTGGCACTGGCCTTGCCACTGACCGGCAGTCTCCCACGTCACCACCACCACCACCACCACCACTGCCGGCCCACCGCGACAAGGAAAACATACCGATGCAGTCCAACTCGCATCATGGACATGCTCCACTCATCAAGACTCGTCTGACGCGCCACACCGGCTTTGACTTTGACCCGCCATCATCCGTGCCCACGCCGCCCAGTTCCCACTCGTCGTCCAATTCTTCCCATTCCGGTCCCCGTGCAATCACACCCGCCCGATCAATCACCATCAAGACCTCAACATCAACAGCCCATCAATCACCCCTCGCACATCCGCACCAGGCGCCGACTGCGTCTCCTCTACGTGCTCCTGCCCCGACTCCGACTACGAAAATCCTCCCAGGCCCTCTCGCCGGAGGACAGGCACGACACGACTCGACAACTCATGGCCATGGCCGCTCCGCTGCGGCGCCGGTGGTGCTTCCACACCAAAGTATAGTCGGGCAAAACAAGACCATCTCCATGGCACCCTCAGTACCACCACCGCCACAACATCAACAACAACAACAACAACAACAAACACATCGCTCACCCATTGCGAGGCCTGGCCCGAGTGGCGGCAAATCAGACAGACCCGAGCGGGCACCTGGCGAGCGGCCAGACCGAAACATCGACAAGGTCGTGTTGGGTGACATATGCTTCCGGGCATGGTACCCTTCCTACTACGGAAAGGAGGTTCTCGGTGAAGGCCCGCCTAGTGTTGGCACGACCATTGCCAATGGGACAAACCCTTCGAATCAGGCGGCACATGGACACCAACCCCACCACCAGCCGCCTATGCTCGACCGCCTTTACGTGTGCCCGTGTTGTTTCAAGTACTCCAAGGAGCTGGTTGCCTGGAGGAGACATGTCTGCTTGTGTGAGGCTCGGGGCCACATTCCCGGAACCAAGGTCTATGTGCACCCAAAAGGGCGGCGGACAGTTCTCGTGCCGACAGGGCCGGCTCCAAAGCCTGGAAGAGGTAAACGTGGAAGTATCGGGCAGAAGATGGTCGAGGAGGTGATCCAGGATGAAGGGGAATGGAGTATTTGGAAGGTCGATGGGGCAGAGGACATGGTAAGCACCGCTCCCATAGCCAATCTTATGAGGCATCATCATGTGAGGTTGCTGATATCTTTTAACAGCTCTTCTGCCAAAACCTTTCCCTATTTGCAAAACTTTTCCTGGATAACAAGTCGGTGTTTTTCGATGTTAGCGGCTTCCACTACTTCCTGCTTGTCTTCACTCCGCCTGATCCCCCCACGGACCCGGACTCAGACGTGACCGAGGTCGTCAAGCCTCGTGGTCAAGTTGTCGGTTTCTTCTCCAAAGAGAAGATGTCATGGGATAACAACAACCTCGCATGTATCCTCATCTTCCCGCCTTGGCAGCGCAAAGGTCTGGGTGCGCTCCTCATGGGTGTCTCATACGAGATATCTCGACGTGAGGGGATTATTGGCGGGCCCGAAAAGCCCATCTCGGAACTCGGCAAAAAGGGGTACAAGCGCTTTTGGGCCGGCGAAATAGCCCGTTGGCTCCTCAGTTTGGAGCCGACAGGCACGACACCAGGCGAGGAAACGGTTGTCGACATTGAAGATTGCAGCAAAGCAACGTGGATAGCCCCCGATGATTGCTTAGCGGTGCTAAGAGAGATGGATGTTGCCGAAGACGCGGGTAGGGGTCCTCCTAAGCCCAAGATACACGAACCGAGCGAGGAAGAAATGGGCACCATCCCTACGGAAGCACCAGCACCACCACCAGCAGCAGCAGTAGTAGAGGAGGATGTGCCGCGGGTTCGAATTACACTGGAAGCTGTGCACAACTGGGTGACTCGGAACCGCATTAGCTTGGAAAGGACCTGCGACCCGGCGGGCTTCATTGACGATTTCGTCATGGAGGAGCCTTCTTCCGAGGAAGAGGGATGAAAAACCTTACAAACCAAGTGACTGCCAGTACTGTCTAGCTGAATACTAGGCGTCCGCGGCAGCTCTGTTTGTATAACACCATTTCAGCAGGAGACGGATGGCCTGCAAATCCCATGCGGAAAACAAAACAAACCCTGCTCACTCGGCTTCCTGCTGGACGATTATCTAGGTTGAGCATTGTGTTCTGGGTAAGAAGCCATTGGCCCAATTTCCAATATACTTTACGGCTGCACTCTCAATGGTCGAAGTCTTGGTGACAGCGGCGGAGTCCCAGGCGAGGAAAGGATTACTTTACCAGAACGACATTTGACTATATTTATCCGTTTGTACCAGCGAGTGAGTTTACTTTCGGATCTTCACCACAAAAGGACCTCGTTAATCTGACAAACCACCAACCAGTACGAACCACTTGCTCCCAGGAACCACAGCAACGGCTTCAGCAAGTTTGCTGCTCAGTTCATTGATGGACACTGCGATGTATTCATCATAGTCGGTCGGTGCATGGTACCGACAACCTCAGGAGATACAATGCGCTGCTCAAAGGACGAGCGCCAAGCGACGAGGATCTAGTATGACACATCCCGCGCACAACTAGGACATTTCAGGGGTGAAGCGCCATGCTTTCAGAAAAGGCATTGTGCAGAAGGAGGGGGCGCATCTCTACGTCCTATCATTAGCACACTGCTTCACGTGTGCTCTTGGTTTCTAGGGATCGGCTACCGAGGACGAGAAGAGAGAGAGAGAGAGAGAGAAAGACCTAAAGAACGAGCCGAGGAGGCTCTGGAAGGGGTTATTGAACTAAGAACTACCACTCTACTCGCTGCGAGGAACAATATGACATGAAGACCTCTTGTTTTTTTCTCCTGTTTGCGCATAGCCCGTCATGACAACATGGCAAAACTATGGAATGATGTGCCGGGCTGTTTGAAAGTATTGTCCATTGCGATGCTCCGACTCTTCTGGCTCCCTGTATCATACACTCGACGTTATAACTCATTGTATCTTGTCGTTAAACGTTTGCGTGAGCTAGTACTAGCTCTCAGACATCGATGTCCTCTGAAGAGTTGACACATGAGGACGGTATCGTACACAACCAGGGAGAATATAAAAGGTGGTTGGTTACCAGAGTTGTGAATACAAAGACGTAGATGTGAAAAGACGACATTCTTCCAATAATACCAAAATGTTATGGGAAAATACTCATCTGCTCAATACATTGGCATAGCAAAGTATCTTGCTATCCACATTTCTTACAGGACTTTGCTTGACATGTACAATCCCTCGCAATACAATGAAGTTGTGAAAAACATGATTTCAAGTCGATATTAACGAACTCTCGAGAGATTCGATATTAACCCAGCTATAAATGCCGTTATTAACCACGCACGGCAAAACTGGTTTCATAACGGATTTCGATTCTCTCTGATGATCGTAAACCGAGTGAGAATCACTTATCAGTTGGAACTTTCCTTTTTGTTGTGTTGCGTTTGGTGATTAGTTCTTCTTATGTCTCGTGTAACAACTCCATTCTGATGTGGATGAAATACACTACATACACTACGCGAAATGGGCAAAATGCCAAAGCTCCAAAATGCACTATATTCCCCCCGTGCATTTAGCATCCGCGGAGCATCCAGTCTCATCCACTGTGCATTGCCGCGGGCGGGAGTGTACTATGTATGTAATCCACTCCACTTTTGACTGCAAAAGTCCACGCAAGTGAAAGTCATTCGGAGCTGCGCTGTGCGGTTGATGTTTGCTGTTGATATCGACATTTTACACACACATTGCCGTTTGGACATTGCCCTGCAGGGGTAACATGAAGCTCCCGCAAGTTGCAGATGTGCGGCGCGGCATATGTAAGAGTTGATGACGAGGTTGAGTACACGGCGATGTTCTGGCGCAAATCCAATGTCTATGGCTGTGGTTTGTCAAAAGGCATCCAACGAAGCTTTGAATATCTGGTGACAGCTCTTGTCTTGACACATCCTACTGCAGAGCCGGACACAAACAGCGCAAGCTCGAGTCTCAACAACACATCGAGCTATATATACCCTACGGCCTGTCGAGCTTCCTGTCGCCACCGCTTCGATTTTTGGTTATGCGCATGCATGCTTTTGTGCAAAGACACGCGACGTAAACAGTGAGGAGCGGTTTTTATCCTATTCGATCCTGTCGTCATCACTAGTGTTTTTACAGCCGATACTGGCTGCTTTCGTTTGTCCCACAGTAGCGGTGCACTATGCGAAAGTTGAGCTTCAACCAATGGCAGTTGTCCATCACAGCTTTTTTGGGTGGGGGACACGGGTTGCTTACCCCTGTCTCGAGTGAAAGGGAGCCTCAGTGTGCCTCAGATGGGCAGCAGCCCAAAAATTTTCGGCCAGGATTCGCGGCGAGCTTTGCTTGAGAACTGTCAAGGTGTGCGTGATGGCCAAAACAACAATACCAACACCAACATCAGCTGTAGATTGTTGACGGGGAGCTTCTAGCCGAAGCTTGGTCATTTTGCCCTGTTATATCATAGTTGGCAGAGAGCTGGGTATGAAATATTGAGCTTCCCAAGCCAATGAGCTGTGCCACAAGAGAAACAGCTCAGGCTGTATTCCGATTTTGCCCGAATAGCTGTCCCTGCTGTGCTCCCATCGTTTGGGGGGGATGCTGTGAGAAAAGAGCGTCAACAACAGCATCATCAGCACGAAACAGCAGGCAAAAGCGAGCAGCAAGTCGTCACAAAAAGCAGTGTACCGACAGCCCCAGGTTCTGCCCGTCTTGCCCTGCGTGCCACAGCAATTTTCCCCTTCAAAAGGCGAAGCACTGGGCAAGCTGGGTGGTCCGACCCACAGAATGGTGGGCACCAGAAAATGCCTCCGGCCTGAATTGACCAACGAGAGCCGGTGCTTGGCGGTTTGGAGCCGTTGCCCGGTCAAGCCCGAGGTTTCCTGCACTCGCTGACCACTTGTTCTTCCCGCACCGACGCACTTTTCCTCTCACCTCCTCTTTTTCTCTCACTCCCGTAGTCCAGCTGTCAACTCTCCCCTCTCCAGCTTTTTTCTCAGCCTTTCCCGACTCGTCCACCTAGTATCTCTTCGAGAGTATACCCAACCATAGACAAAATGGCCTCCACTCGTGTCCTCGCCTCTCGCCTGGCCTCCCAGATGGCTGCTTCCGCCAAGGTTGCCCGCCCTGCTGTCCGCGTTGCTCAGGTCAGCAAGCGCACCATCCAGACTGGTAAGCGGTGATTCGGATCTTGCGAGCGACTCTTCCCATCACATCACGACCGAGAACCAGCCATGAGAAAATTTTTCCCCATGTCGCTGCTGCCCGACGATCATCCATCCAAATCGCAGCGGGACATATTTCGTGACGCGGGAATTGTTGAGATTATGGGCAAAAACCAGAGTCTGACATGTTCCTCCAGGCTCCCCCCTCCAGACCCTCAAGCGCACCCAGATGACCTCCATCGTCAACGCCACCACCCGCCAGGCTTTCCAGAAGCGCGCCTACTCTTCCGAGATCGCCCAGGCCATGGTTGAGGTCTCCAAGAACCTTGGTATGGGTTCCGCTGCCATCGGTCTTACTGGTGCCGGTATTGGTATCGGTCTCGTCTTCGCCGCCCTCCTCAACGGTGTTGCCCGCAACCCCGCCCTCCGTGGCCAGCTCTTCTCCTACGCCATTCTTGGTTTCGCTTTCGTCGAGGCCATCGGTCTTTTCGACCTCATGGTTGCCCTCATGGCCAAGTTCGTAAGTAACCTAAATGCCGCATCCGCCGCAGCATGCTCATGGATGCCCAACTGCTCCCCGCGCTTGGACGGCTCTGACGTAACCTGACCTCTAGACCTAAATGCATCCAACCATGGACGGGCAATACGGCGAATCCTAGCTGGAGCCATCGCCTGTACATATGGAGAGAGCGGACGAGCCGGCTTGTACGAAAAGGTTCATGGTCATATGCGGCATTATCCACACCGCGTATCCATTGTGAGATGGGGTGAGGGAGTGCATTCGATTCGGCATAGAATTGCAGCATAGACGGAGGAAGGGGCATATAGACCTTAAAGACCGTGGAGTGACGAGCTTTGGCGATCTCTCCGTCTCGTCGGTACTGCCGGCGAACCTGTAAAATAGCCCGGAGCACTCTCACATCGCTCTCCCGGGACAGTTCCATCCACAAAAAGAAACTCTTCCATTGTCGACCAACACACGCGTTCTCCTGAATCCCTGAAACGTGAAACGTGAAATCGAGATGCATGTAATGTTTACAGTTTCCAACATCGCATCTTGGACCTGCAGGTGCGGCAGTCCTGTGACATTCCCCGCATTAGGCGCCAGAAACGCTTGTTTTGGCGCCCGATTCGAGGTATCCGAACCTCTAAATTCCGGCCCGGACCAGGAACTTGATAACGGAGATGTTCCGGGGACTCGGACGGCCGGAGTGGATGCAAAAGAGTACGGACAGACGGGGAACCGGTGATGGACGACCACGGGGCTCTCGGGCCTTTGCGGACGGCGGGCAGGGCGGGCAGGGCGGGCGGAGGCGGGCCCATCCAAGCTCCAGCCACGGGAGGTGAGCAACTTTCTTTCGGTCGGGCGGGGCTGGGCCTTCACAACCCCTCCGCTAGCCTCCGCACCATCGACGGGCGGCGAACGAATCCGAGCTCGAGCTGCCAAGTTTCCCATCCATGTGGGCTGGCCACGATCGGGGGTGTCTCCACTCCAGACTTGGGACGGAGCGGACGAGAGGTCCAGAGACGGTCCGCACTTTTGCGTCTTTCGTTTCTTCATCCGCCCGCGTGTCGACTGCGACTGCGACGTGCTTGCTGCCGTGCCCGTACATAGTGTACATAGCTCGCTAGCTTCGAGGCCAGGGTTGGGACTTGCTTGTGATGTGTGGATGAGCGAGTGAGAGTACCCACATTATCGATGGCCCACTTTCAACCTTTCGTGGACTGGTGGAGTCATTTTGGGCCGCTGGCGATGTGACGTCCGATGATGTGTTGTTGGTGTTTTTTATTAGGGACTTGTTGTTGTTAAAATGATGTCTTCATGGTTCGCGTCTCTGATGTTTCGGCATGATGTTTCAATGAGAGGCGAATGTGATGAATATGAATTGAGAAAGAAGTGACAAACACAACAGACAGCAGGATACAAAGTAATTGTCGTGAATAAACAGTTGCAATCAATGAAAGACAAATTTCAATGAGAGAAACGAAAACAACCTTCAAGTTGATGTAAGGTGGGAGTTCAATAGTCCGCAGGGGAATTCAAGTTCAAAAGGCAAAAGGTAACTTGTGTTCTTTCCCTTTTTTGAAGCAGCTCGGACGAGAAAGACCAGACGTTGTAATTAAGTTTGGCAGCTGCCATGCCAGGATTCCTTCTACTTATGCGCTTGCTCAAAGCCCCCTTCTAACATTTTTCGATAGTACACAACGAACACGGTGATGCATGCGTCAAGTTGTAATGCTTTTTCCAACTTCAGAAGACCGGTCAAGCAAGAGAGGACATTGAGCCGTCCCGTTTCTTCCTCCCTGTGGTGTAGCAGAGTGTCAACTCAACACCATGATTTGATTACCCCGCTCAACAGGTGTTACACAACAGCACTTGGGAATGGAACGACCCAAGCGGCCAGCCGGTTCAAAGGGTTGTGCATATATTGCCGTGACCTCTTTGATCCCATAAGGTGCTCGGACATGCCAATATATTGGCTGGTTGGAGAGAGTCTCGAGTGGCAAAACAGTGGACGTTGACGGTGCCAACAGCCGAAAGGGGTTTGTTTACTGCAAAGCTAGGAAACTCAGACCAACCTACCAAGCCAAGATGAACAGCGATGCGACAGCTTGCCGACACCAATCCCACCTGGAGGAAGGATGTGTTGTCGTTCATGGAATCTGGGACCAAGTACCAAAACGCAAAAGCTGCAAGCAAAGACAGAGTTACACAAGAGTAGGCGCTTCTAGGGCAACCTGCGAGCCCGAATCACCAATAACGTTGTCATTCCCGTCTATAATCTATGTTACTTATTTCGTCACGCCATCCAATCATTACAATTTCTACTTTAGGCCTTGACAAGAAGGTTCTGGCCAGTCATCTCCGCGGGCTGGGGGAGACCCATAGCCGCAAGGATTGTGGGAGCAACATCACCAAGGACACCACCCTCCTTCTTGAGGCTCCAGCCCTCAGGGGCGTTGGCCATGATGAAGGGCACCTTGTTGGTAGTGTGGGAGGTCTTGGGCTTGCCGTCAGGGAACTTCATCTCCTCAGCGTTACCGTGGTCCGAGGTGATGAAGAGGATGTAACCCTCCTTCTTGCAGCCCTCGAGAATCTTGCCAATGGCCTTGTCGGTAGCAGCGCAACCAACAATGGCAGCCTCGTAGACACCGGTGTGGCCAACCATGTCAGGAGGAGCAAAGTTGTTCATGACGAAGGGGAACTCCTGCTCACCGAGACGCTTGACGACCTGGTTAGCAACACCATCGGCGCTCATCTCAGGAGCCTTGTCGTAAGTCGCGACGCTCTTGTTGGAGGGAACGAGATCCTGGCTCTCATCACGGGTCTCGAGAGGGAACACCTTCTCGACACCACCGTTGAAGAAGAAGGTGACGTGGGCGTACTTCTCGGTCTCGGCAATGTGGACCTGCTTGACACCCTGCTTGCCGAGCCACTCGGCGAGCACGTTGTCCATTTGCTGGGGCTTAAAGGCAACATCGAAGGGATAGTCGAGCTTGTACTGGGTCATGGTGACGAGCTTGATGTTGGGGAAGGGGAAGTCGGGCAGGGGCGAGCGGTCAACACCACCCATGAGCTGAGTGATCTGGCGGACACGGTCGGAGCGGTAGTTGAAGAAGAAGACGGTATCGTCCTCCTTGATGCGGCGCTCATCGCCACCAACGATGATGGGCTTGAGGAACTCGTCGTTCTCGCCCTTCTCGTAGCGCTCCTTGATCGTCTTGACGGGGTCGGTGCTCTCCTCACCCTCGCCGAGGATCATGCCCTTGAGGGCAATCTCGACACGCTCCCATCTCTTATCGCGGTCCATGGCATAGTAGCGACCGACAACAGTGGCAAGCTCACCAATGCCAATCTCCTTGATGGTGTCGAGGAGCTCCTGCATGTAGCCAGCGCCGGACTTGGGGTCGGTGTCGCGGCCATCGCCAAAGAAGTGGATGAAGACCTTGGGGACGCCAGCCTCCTTGGCAGCCTTGAGCAGGGCATAGAGATGTGTCTGCTTGGAGTGCTATGGGAAGAGAACTGTCAGCAATTGTGCAGACTACCAATAATCATCTGCTGATCCGGGGTCATTGATCACTTACAACACCGCCGTGGGAGACGAGACCGCAGAGGTGGAGACGGCCGTTGCCGTTCTTTGCCCTCTCAAAGGTGGCCTTAATGACCTCGTTCTGGCTGAGCTCTCCCTTCTTGATAGTCTGGTCGATACGGACAACGTCCTGCCAGACGACACGGCCGGCGCCAATGTTGAGATGGCCGACTTCGGAGTTGCCCATGAGACCCTCGGGGAGACCGACGGCAAGGGAGGAAGCCTCAAGCTCACTGAAACCGGTGGCGCTCTTGGACAGCTCGTCCATCACAGGGGTCTCGGCGGCGGCAATGGCATCGCCGTTCTTGGGGGACTCCTCGGAGGGAATACCCCAACCATCAATCACGACTATAGGACGATCGGATGAGCATCATGATCAACCAGGCCAGTTCCAGGTAAACTAGCATGTAACACGCGACCAGCGCGTAGTCAGGACGGCGGGCGGACGTACTCAAGCAGGCCTTGTGTTCGGGAGCCATTGTGTTGTGATCTTTTATCTCGGAATATGTAGGTGTATGTATAAGTGTCGAAGCAGGACGCTCTAAAACGACAAATCTGTAGCGCAATGGGTTTGATTAGGAACGGCGAACAGAGATGGCTGGCGAGATGGATGATGGAATTGAGGACAGAGGACTCTGATAACTAACCTTTGTACAATGGCGGGATCAATGGCAAGAGACGGACGGAGGAAAACAGGATCAGATGAGAGTAAGACCACTCGGTGCCCAGGGTGTTGAGAGATTTTGTTGGTGGGGTTACAAACTTTCGTAATCGAGCAATTGGCATCAGGCACTCGATCATTCGGTTGACTATTTCTGGATGTGTCTGCCGATTGTCCGCTGTGTGAGCTTTCCCTCAGGTCGGGTCGGCCCCTCCATTGGCATATGGAACCCCACCTGACGTCGCTGTGGCGGGGATGGAGCTCCGACTTGCATCCCACTGTTCCCCAGCAGGTCCCCAGCAGCTCCCTAGCAGCAAGCTTCGCACTGGGGCAGGAAGGACCGACTTCGCAAGGGCCCCTAGACCCGCCCAGCAGGGCCCCCCCGCGGCCGTCAGCATGCCTGATGAAGCAATCAAGGTTGATCTCCCAGGCACGCTGCGGCCGCCGCACACGATAAGCGCAGAACCCCACCGCGCCGGACGGGAACTTTTTAAGGTTAGATTGGTTACTGGTACATTGGATTTCACACACTAAAACCCCCTCCATTTTATCATGTTATCGCCGAACAAACAAAAAAAAAAGTCAATTGGAATTCCACAATACCGCCGGTGTTAACAATTCCGGAGTCGTCGCCATTACGTACACTGTGTTAGTTTGTTAGACTCGGCTTACAACAGAGCTCCTCCAAGCTTCCACAACCGTAACCACGTCAACCACTAACTGCCACCACAACGACAACAACAATAACAACCAACGACGTCGACGACGACAACCATCGCGATCACTGCGGTACATATCGATCCAACATATCTCACCAGCCATCACATCAATCACCACCACCACCACCATAGCCAACACCACCACTCATTCAACCAGCTCTCCCCCACCGAACCAAAACACAGCAACAACACCACCACCAAAATGGCAACCCACATCCCCCCCACCCTCTCCCCCGACGCAATCGACACCCTAACCGAACTAACCCTCATCCTCACCAAATTCCGCGCCGCCCAAGCCTCCGCCCGCTCCGCCGGCGCCGTCGGTCCCTCCTCCTCCTCCACCAACCCCTCCCACGGCCCCAACTCTTCCAACAACGCTCCCATCAGCACCCCCGCCCCCGGCGCAGTAACAGGCACCACTCCCCTCCCCATCCCTACTACCTCCAACCCAAACGCAACGACAGCAGGATCGTTCAGTGCCAAGGACCTCCCCCAAGCAACGGATAACCTCAAGCATAAACTCCAACGGGCGCGACAGGCGGTCTTGACGCTCCCGGATATTGGGAGGACGATCACGCAGCAGGAGAAGGAGATCGCGGAGCTGGAGGAGAGGAAGAGGAAGCAGGTTGCCATGCTGGCAAAGATACGCGACGAGGGACTGCAGTTTGCAAGGCTGGAGCAGAGTAGACGGGATGAGGAAGGGGAAAGGATGATGGTTGAGTAGGTAAGGAAGGCTGAAGGATTTTGGGGGTGAAACGCTCCGACTCACCGTTCTGTCTTCTACCCAAGTCTAGACCTTACCATCCATCAACATCACCTTTTGACGGCTGGGATGAACACAGAAATTGGCGAGAGGGTGTTCATGCCTTCTCTTGAGGGGGTTGTAAGGATGCCTACATTGGACACCGCCATGACTATCGCTACAAGGACTGTCTAGCCCAACCGACGCCGGCAAGGTCATGAGGCTTTTCGATATCACAATACTCTACACTACACCACTACACGATACAACTCGAGTTCGACCGCAGGAGATGCAGATAGCACTACCCAGCCTCGAGCTACTTCAGGTTGCCCCAGCCCCAAGAAACCTTCCGGATCGTCTTCAGACTTGATGATCTTCTAGGCTTCTACGCCTCAGCACCAATGCCGACTGTGCTCAAGATGTCATCAAGGCCTGCACCAGGATATCCAGGGACCTTATCCTTCCAGATATCCTCCGCGATGCGTTGCTCTTCCGGAAGCACGCTCCAGTTTGGCGAATGCTCCGCCTTCAACCACTTGAAGTCATCCACCTGATCCCACATGTTGGTATTTTCGTCCTTGTCGGCCGACTAGGCAAAGAGAAAGGCGATGTCAACAAAATCATTACCCAAATAAAAGATTGAGGAAAGAGAAATAGCGGGAAAACAACTCACATGAAACTTGGGCGCGGGTGCAAACCTCAACGCCTTGCAATCCTCAATAATCGGCCTACTGGCACAATACAGATAAAAATCGACGTTCTCGCACTCGTGGATCCGCACCTGTCTTGCCACCACCAGCACCTTGCTGTCACGCAGGCCCGTGATGTGCACCGGCCCATCCACGTGGCCCGCAACGATCAAGCTGCCCGAGATATTCTTCAGCGCCAGGCTCGCAAACGGTGCGCCGCCGGCACACACCCGCGTCGGCACTGACATGTCCACGATACATCCCTTCATATTTGTGAGCGCCCCAGCCGAAGTTGCCCTGGACGCCGACAGCGGCAGGATGATGTGCAGCTTATCGTGGTCCGAAAGCGTAATGTCCCGCGCGGTTGAGAAGCTCGGCTTACGGACTCTCGAATCCGTCGAGTCCTTTGCAATCTCTTCGTTGTAGTTCTTGGCGGGGAAGGAGGGCAGGTTGCTGAGGCTGTCCTTGCGATCCTCCGAGGATAACTTTGAACCGTTGGCGGTAGCGACGGCGGTCACCGCCGAGGGAGAAGAGCTCTTATCTTGACCTCCCGCAGGGAGCATGTACCGAGCATCGTTCTTCTTGTCAGCCATGGCGTCTCCTCCGGATGGCGGATTGCGGCGCTTGAACTGGAACCTGCTCTTGGGCCTGAACTGGGCTTGGGCCTCGTTGAGCTGGTCCGTCAGCTGCTTGAGCGCTTGCGAGTAGGTGCGCTGGTCGTAGGCGGGGACATAGTCGGCGGCATCGGCGACTTCGTTGGATAGCCGTGAGATGCCGGTCAGGATATGCTCGATGGTATCGTGGCGTTCGCCTGCAACGGCAGAGAGGTTGGCGAGGTGGTTGATATGCTCTTGGAGGTCTTTTGGTCCCATCAGTTAGACGTCTTGAAGCCAAGCGGTTTTGGTAATATTAGGAGACTCACTTGCTACGGTCCCCTGGAACTGACGATAGAACGTCTCTTTGGGTGTTTCCTTGTGGGCGGCTCCTTGCGCAGACATTTTTTCAGGGGTGACGTTGTATCTGTCTGTCCGTCTGTCTTGTAAGCTCTTTGCGTCAATCAAGACTAAATTTAAAAACTCCAACACCAGCTTCATTTTCAAATCGCAGGCTCAAATGATCAAGAGCCCTGAATATCTCCTCAACGGGTGACTTGCGCCATGAATACAAAGTGCAGTTATCAACAACCATAAGACCCGGCTAGATATATGTGTGCTTTTCCTCATTCCATGTCATACCATTTTCCCCTCGGTGATGCAAAATGCCGGCGTTGAAAACAGTTGAACGCAGAGAGAGGAGGAGGAGGAGGAGGGGAATATGCTCACAAGCTGGAGATTGACCTTTCTCGAAAAAGGTTTGTTTTCGTCCCTAGTCTAGTATGCTCGTGTCCTTAGGGTTTAGCTCTAGGCTTCGTTGTGTTTGTGTAAGAAAATAGCCAGTACAAATATAGCATAAATCTATGTGCCCGACCAGAGGTATCTTGTTTTTTTCGGTAACAATAACCAAGAAGAGAGGATAACACTGAGTGAGTGCGAAGGAAAAGGTATGGAGTGTAGAAATAGGCTGGACGGGACACAACTCGGAGGTGGTTAGAGGTTGAGTAAATAGGTAAGGGTAAATAGTATGGCTCCGTTTGTTAGGACGGATGGTGCCGCACTGTCGGAGTGACCAAGAAAAAGAAGGAAAGTGAAGTGTTTTTGGTAGTAGGAGGAGAAGTAGTCTATGAAAAAGTACAAGTTGGTCCAGTCACCTACCTACCTGCTCAAACTGAAGACCAAGTATCAGGGAAGTCGCAGTCGGAAAGATATGAGTAGAGGTAACGCTTGCTCTAAGACGAGCTGGCCGCGGGTGACCTGGGCTGACTGGGTGTAGCTGGTAGCTTGCAGAAACCCTAAAATGGTGAAGGCGAGGTGATGGCTTCCTGAATGACTTAAGAAGGCCAGGTAGAAGCACTTGTGGTACGATCGTGGTGTCGTGATACTTTCGAGTGACTGGAAGGCACAATCTTGGTTGTGGAATGCTGTCAACTACCTTACCTAGGTCGTTGTTTTGTGTGTGGGGAGAGACAAGGGGCATCACAGCGAGAAACTGGGGAAGCTATAGTGGGGCCAGGAAGGAGCTATAAATTACTTGTATTACTTGTAAATAGGGGTCCAGTGCTGATGGCTACCTCTACACCTTCCTTCCCTCGCCATATAAACCAACACAACCTCGAGTACTCCATACTTACCTACTTCTGTAATTTTCGAGGATAAGCAATCTCCGATTCAAACGAGACAGCTGATTTGTCAAGTACTGTTCGTGTCCGAAATTTTCGAAAAGGAATGTCCACGGGTGTAGGCTCAACTTCAATGTTCGAACAAGAACACATGAATCGCTAGCAATTGAAAATGACATTACGCATCCAATAAGGACCAATATTTACAAGTCAAAATTACAAAGTACACACGCCTTCTATCGAATCGCTATCCATAACTGCGTGACCTCCCTCCGCCATAATTGCTCGGAAACCTCCTCCCGCTCGCCAAGATAGGCACCTGTATAGGCATCGACTTCCTCTTGGACGCCGGCAACGAGTTCACGGCATCCCACATCTCCATCACCCCAGCTCTCTTGGCGGGCAACATGCTGTACTGAAGACTGTACAGGTTCCTCCTGTTGAGCGGCGGGACGAACTTGCCCGTCAGCAAACAGAGGGCCACGCGGGGCGAAAGGTAGTGCTTCCGGATCCGGTTGCCCATCTGGAAGTATTGGTAGAACATGGACTTGAAATCCAGAGGGATAGACTATATGGCAGTTAGCTGGGGCTCTTCAAATGAGCTTTTCGTGAATGGGGATTGCCATACCTGAAGAGATATGACAGAGGTCGAGGGGTGTTGACGCAGGGGAATATTATCATTAGAGGTGGCTCCAAAATCCTGGGTGTCGCGAAGCTCGAATCGAATGCCGCCTGGATAACAGTCAGTGGTGATTATTCAGACCGATAACCTAGTATGATAACACACACCTGGAAGTCTTTTGGGGTCTTTGACCCGTAACATCAATGCAAAAAGTGGAAAGTGGTTTAGACAAGAGAGTGCGGTATCGAAGCAAGCCTTGAACAGGATGATGGCCATGCGTGCAATCGCAAAGTTCAAGTAAAATACCACCACGGTGGGCAAAAGGAAAAACAGGACCGTGAAGAGAATAGTCCCAACAAGGAGCTGATCGAGGCCATAGTCGCACGAGTCGATGCGGTTTCGAAGGACGTTGTGCTTCTTGCCACGAAAGAGGTGAAAAAGCGACTGGAGGATATTCAACTGCCAGTGAAATATCCTGGCCGAGGCGAGGTAGAAGGAGTATATGTGAATCGTGAGTATGGAAAGGAGATCCGAGAATAGGGCAAGAGGCATGCTTGCCCCCGCAAAACTGGAGAAGCCGATAATCAACACAATACGTGGCAGCATGGGCCGAATTGTCTCGATACAGCCTTTGCCAATGTCAGTATGTTCACTAGGAAACCAAGTGCAGACCAGAAACTTACTCGCCCAGTATTCAATAACCCACAAGAACAGATCACCAAGGAACGCCGCTAGTTCGGTGTTTAGCTTCAAGCCTGCCGGCCAGCCCATGAGCCAGGAAATGCTGCTCTGCAATGCTTCGACGGTATAAGTGGTGAGCAGGCGGCTGATCTCGTCGGCCACCCAGCCAGCATTTTCAATGATGTATGAACCAAACGCCATACCGATGATAACATCATTGGCAACAAGCCAAAGACTGTTGTAAAACCGAATGTAGTCTGGATGACTCGTTGTTACACTCGCCCAGTCGTTCTTCCTCATCCGAAGCGTGACATACTGCATTGGCCAGTAGCAAAACTGTTGGAGACGAATCTCAACTTGCTGAGCCGTCGCAGATATGTCTTTCAAAGCTGCATATCTGGGCCGAAGCCGCCACTCCAGTATGCGCAATAACATCTCGGCGACCACCCTGTGAGCCATCAAGCCTAGCACAAATACCTTCTTGATGACGGGCAGCACGTAAATGGTGATCAACTCCCAAAGCCATACCAAGACCATGTCGCGAGCTGTGGTTGCCGACTCGACCACCCGTTCTGACACGCTCAAAGCCCTCTTAGGACGAGTCCCGATGCGTGAGACATTCTGCTGTAGTAGCTTTTCGAGCTCCCATGCCCAATTGATTTGGTTGACTATTGTCGCAAGCGCTCGTTCTTTGGGCGACGGAATTCGCTTTATCACCGAATGTTGTTTGAGCTTCTCGACCAGTTTTCGCTTCGTTTCCTTGCTCAAACGCTCCCGCTTCTCGTCGTCCTCCTCCCCACTGTCGGCGAAATCTTGCTTAAATCCATCGTGTTTGTCTCCCAGTGCCAAGGCAATCGGATTAAGTGACATGTACTGCATTCGTCCTGGCAGAGGCCGCTCGAAAAGGATAATCTGGATGCTAGACGCTCGAGCACAGGTGACAGAAGGCACACGCTGTTTAGGCGCTATCGTAACCCGGATCCATGATGAGTCGACCTCGACGGTGTCTGGAGTGTTTGAGACGCCCAAGACGCTTATGGACGATTTGCCGCATTGTTCGTAGATGCGGCTGACTGGGTGAGGGGCGTTACGGAGAAGGTTACCGAGCTTTAACGCGCTTTCAACACGTCGAGGCTATCACAGAGTCAGCGCTGTTATCCACATCCATCCCCAGCCAGCTGTAGACCCGGAGGGCACAAACCTCAACCTCCTCCAGTACTGCCACCACGAGAACATCCAAGGCCGAGTTCCTCCAGCCGACCACGACGCCGTTACAGTCGGATCGCGGAAGGTCTGTGGGCCAGAACACGCGCATCAAGCCATCATCCTCTGGCATGACAGATAGCGCAATCGCGAGCAACCAATCAGAAAGAGCCCCTTCTCCTTAGTTGTTCCCTCGCGGAGATACCTGATCCTGGCGATCGCGGATGCTGGACCAGCATTATCAGTATATGGAATTCGCATATCGACTGTTGGTTGGGGGCAGCAGCAAGCTGGTGGTGGTGGTCGTACCAGGTTCGACTCCAAAGTAGCAAGACGTTGCACAGGAATAAAGACGATGAGAAACACAAGGCTTAACACGCCGAAGCCCTTGGCGGCCCGAGTCTAGAGACGAATTGACACAAGGTTAGCGATCCAGGCTGTTGCTGTTTCGGCGCAATGGTGGTTGGCCGGGGGCGGAGTGCCACAGTTTTTCCTTCTTTCCCATAGCATGTGACACTTACCACCACTCCGTAGTTCCAAGCAAATATGGCAAGCTCATATAGGCGAGTGACGAGGTCCCATCGGGCGGTGATATACCCAGCTACGAAGATGCCGAGTGTAAGAACAGAAAAGGGGTGCATAGAGGCGCGCTGCCCCTTACTGTTCGAGCATGCGATCGCGGCAAAAGTCTGGGCCGGTAGATGCTGTAGTCCGATGTCACTTTCCCTTGTGTGGGGAGAGGAAATGCGGGCGGATAGTGGGTGCGGTTATATGAGGAATTGGCGGGCGCTGTAATGGGAGGGGGGAAACAATACTCGACGGTTCGAAGAAGTTGGATTAGGTAGGTCGAAGTCAAAGCTGGCACGGACGGGAAGCACAACGGGATGCCGAAAACTTGTTGATTTGGGACGGGGACGGGGAGCAGGGCGATCAGATGCGTTATGTGTCGTGTCGTGGACAGACTCGGCTCAGACTCGCGCTGAAGTTTATCGAAGCAGTTTAGGCAGTATTACAGGGAGTGTGGAGCGTTCTAGTTCTAGCGCCCAGAAGCCAAACAGAGTCCCCGAGCGCAACCCGACCTGGCTGCGACTGCACGGCACTCTGTAATGAACCGATTGGATGTTGGGGAGGATCCACTTCTCAAGGAAACCTTATTTGGAAGGGGACGGGAACATTCAACTTGAAGTCATCCATGGCTTCCGGCCATAACACCGAACACTGAACACTGCAACTTGAAACAAGATGAAATAAATTGCAAAGGTACAGTCGAACACCAGCGGGTGACGCTCTTGGTATATGGGCTTTGTTCAAGACATGGAGTGTGTACATAACGAAAAGTCCTTCCACGAATGCCAGGCGATATATACGGAGAAGAGATAATTGAGCAATGTAAGAAGAATACTAGCTGGATTGTTGCGGCTTTGTTCAAGGAGTTGGTCGACGAGTGGTACAGTAAGATACTCAGACGTCGTCCAGCTCTGGTATTCTGAGAAAGTCAGTCATCCTTTCAACTTTGGTCATGTTCGTAAGCTCAAACTCACATTTTTTCTTGCCCATGTATGTTGAGTCGCTGTCCTTGAGTTCTTCCCGCGCCTCGTCAAGCAGCTTGTCGATGCCGCGCTCTTTCAAAGCAACCTGTAAAATGCCATATGGTAAGCTATCTCGGTGCTAGAGTACGGGCGCTGTATGGTTTTGCGACCTACCTGCAGGCAAGAGCTATACTCCTTGAAGAGAGTGGAACATTCGTTATCTTGTTCGGTACCATTGCCCCTAAGGTATTCTGTCCAGTATAAGCATCACACATGTCCACTGAGCTGGGGTGTCTGTTCCTGTAGACTTACTCTCACTGTACCATTTGAGAAAGCAAGTATCGTAACGTCTACAACTGGTCAAGACGTTGTTTTCTATCCGTATGAAGGACAAAAACTTACTCCTTGGCCTCGTTGCATTCCTTGGCGAGTGACTGGGACATCTTTGAAGTCCAGAGCTATGTTTTCAACCGTAGGTGTTGGCAACAAAACGATAGGCTTGGTACGGTGTCCGATGACTTATGGGTATCGACGGTATACCTATGTTCTGGGCAAAAGAACGTATAGAAGGGGTTTTGTGTGATACTCTAGGTGAATATTTTTGGTGGAAAAGACGGTTGTACGGAATCTCAAATACCAACGTTCACCGGTGAGTCCGCTTGGAAACCAACAAGTACCAGGTGCTATTAAACAATGGGGTTGCGGACTTCCACTTCGTCACAGGACGGATCTCAAAAGCTTGGACGCCGATGGATGAACGTTGGTGGTCCAGATCAGCACAATCTTGGCTCTTGGCAAGCCCCCCCCTTGGCCTTATGTAATCGGCTGCCCAAAGTCTCTCTACTTTAGTGCCCGTACTTTTTAGCATAAGTCATCAGGTACCTCTACCAGCGCAGAGCGGGAACAGCTCACTCGAGACCCACTTGATGGCATCCATCGGGCAGCTTCCACTTTTCGAGGTCCCGTTCACTTTGGCGCTTTCTCCACAAGCCACATGCTGGGACTGTCCGCAAAAAAAGTTCCCAAAGAGCAGCAAAACGACAAACCATTTCTGGAAAATTGAACCGGGCTTGCACTTCCAGTGACGTCCACACCACAACAAGTCCAGAACCACCGGCCAACATGGACGGTTCACTGGACTTCAAGACCTTAAGGGAATCGCTCCAAGCCGCCCTGGTCGCCACGACCCGAACCGCCAACTCAATCGCCAGCGAGGATCTTCAGTTCCAGCGCACCGTCAACCCGACTGTCGGTGGTCAACTCGACAATAGCTCCGGCCGCCTTCTGTCCCTGGCCAACGGCCTCCTCAAGTCAACCGCGAATCTCACCGGCCAAAAGGTTGGCGCTCTTGAAGATGCCGACGACGTGGACATCCAATGGCGGAACATTGTCGACGTGATCGACTCGCTCCTCGAGAAAGCCGACACCTGCCTCGACGAGTACACGGGATTGATCAAGCGGAAGGATGCGCCTACCCCCGCCGACCAGGGCCGCGCCCAAAAACGCGTCAAGTCGTCTAACGATCGTCTTGACTGGTCATTGAAGAGAGCCAACATTCTCAAACCACAGAATAACTTCGAGAAGAAGGTCGATAACTTCGCTCCCGGTCCTTGGAAGCCTCTGTTGTCGTCCAAGCCTCATGCCAAGGTGTCACTGGAAGACAGCCTGGCCACCTTTGTCGACGATGACAACAACACACAGTACGTCTAACCGTCCTTTCCGATATCATAAGAGCATGGCGCTAACATGAATCTCCCAGGTACAAACACCCCTACGAAACCGAGATCAAGACGACACCGTATCCTGAGCATGTGTACAAGAAGCGCGAACCCGAGGAGTACCTTCCTATCGATTCGACATCCGCCATCTGGGTTGATACTTATGAGGGCGTCTTGGAGATGTTGGAAGAGCTCAAACAGGCCAAGGAAATTGCGCTTGACCTGGAGCATCACGATTTTAGGTCTTACACCGGGCTGCTGTCGCTTATGCAGATCAGTACCAGAGAGAAGGATTGGGTGATTGATACTCTTCAACCTTGGAGGCACAAGCTTGAGGTTCTGAATGAGGTTTTTGCGGACCCCAACATTGTCAAGGTGAGACACATCCTGACTTCTTCTTTCACCATAACATCGACTAACTTGACCCAGGTTCTTCACGGTGCTTTCATGGATGTCATCTGGCTGCAGAGAGATCTTGGTCTTTACGTTGTAGGTCTCTTCGACACATATCATGCTTGCGCCGTTCTCGGGTACCCTGGAAGGAGCTTGGGTTATTTGCTTAGCAAGTTTGCCGAGTTCGAAGCCGACAAAAAGTATCAGCTTGCGGACTGGCGCATCAGACCTCTCCCCGAGGAGATGTTTTACTATGCGCGGTCCGATACCCACTACCTGCTCTACATCTTCGACATGATCATCAACGAGCTCGTGGAGCGCTCAACACCTGGAAAGCCGAAGCCTGACCTTCTCGAGCAGGTCCTCGAGAGGTCCAAGGATGTCGCCCTGCAACGATACGAGAACCTTAGCTACAACGTCGAAACCGGCCAGGGACCCCGCGGGTGGTATAATGTGCTGTTGAAGTCCCCAACACTCTACAACGGCGAGCAGTTTGCCGTCTACAAGGCCGTACATCAATGGCGTGACAACTTGGCTCGTCGTGAGGACGAGAGCCCCTTCTTCTTCATGACACAGCAGGTTCTGGCCGACATTGCGCGGATCCTCCCGACCGACAAGAAGGCTCTGTGGAGTATCCTGGATAGCAATGCCAAGGGCCTCAAGTCTCATTTGGATGATCTATTCGACGTCATTCAAAAGGCTAGGGAGGAAGGTGTGAACGGTCCCAAGATGATGGATATCTTCAAGAGCGAGTCATCTATCCTTGCCCCCGCCAAGATTGCTGCGGTCATCGCCGACGATAGCGACATTCCGGACGTCAAGGAGCTCAAGGCTGACCGGTCACAATTTTGGGGCGGCGTCACTCTGAGCTCTGTCTGGGACGGGATGGCTGCGAAGACTGCCAAGCTTGACGACGTGTTGGAAATCACCCTTCCGTATCCGGCCGACTTCATGGACGGATCCGCGGCTGAGATGGAGGTGGATCAACCAGAGGAGACGGTGCCAGAGCCCCAGCCGGCGCCGGAAGAGGTGATAGTCAACCAGGAATTCACTCTTAGGAACGGAGGCAAGCGCAAGCGCGAGGAAGAGTCTGAGGAAGAAGAGGAGGCCTCAGATGCCGAAATGGAGGATTCCGCGCCTCAGACCGAAACCGACGTGCAAACCGGTGGCGAAGCCGAGGGTGACGACTCCGACGAGGAAGAAGAGGAGGAGGAGGAAGAGGCAAGCGACAAGTCATCCAAGAAATCCAAGAAGGCAGCCAAGAAAGCGGCCAAAGAGAAGAAGAAGCAGGCCAAGGAAGCTCTCAAGGCTCAGCGAAGAGCAGAGAAGGCCGCCAAAAAGGAAGCAAAGAAGAAGGCGCAGGAAGAAGCTGCTGCTGCCGCTAAGCAGGTGGATGGCGAGGAGGAGAAGGAAGATCAGCCGTTTGATTACTCTCAGGCTGCCTCGGTGTTGCGTGCTCGCAAGACTCAGGAGGACGTCAAGAAGGCGAATAAGAGGTTCAACCCGTATGAAAACAAGTCTCAGGGAGGACCCAAGGGCGCAAGAGCGCATTACACGGCCAAGGCGGCTGGCAGGACGGCTACCTTTAAGAAGTGAGGAGCCGGCGGGTGAGGAAGATGGCGGGCAAATAGGATAGATTATGGAACGATTAGTGCTGTGCTGGCCATTGATGCCAGTTATTTTTTACTTGGACTATTATTATCGCGGTGCGTTTTAGTATATGCGACAGGAGAAGAGAAAGAGATGGCTTGTGGTAGAGACATAGATACCAAGCAATAACTGATGACAGCCAAGAGACGTCGAGTTTTCATCCTGTTCTACAAAAGGCTGAGCCACAGAAACACTGCATCAAATTGTACAGAGTCTCGACCGGTGTGAGTATTTATGTCTTTATATATCCTGCATGTTTCCCCTCACGCAATCAACTTGCACCTACACTACAGTTTGCCCAAGCTGATTCCTGGTATTCGACTCAATGTCCATTTTCTATCTGATGGTATCACGAGGTATCACGAGGTGGAGGGGATCCGCGCGGTGGTCATGAGAGCCAGTCGACAGACCAATGTAACCTATCAACACCTTTTTGAGATCTCGTGGATGGTGTTTCGTTCCATGATCAAAACGTATGTATCTCCATTTTGGCATTTGGCAAGTCATGGAATGATACTGTAGTATTCCGAGAAGATACCTACCTATCTACACACATACATGCATACATACCACCACAACTATCTACAGCCTAAGGCGACATCGATACACCAAAAACGATCGAAGCGCCACCAGCGGTAGGTATGTTGTCCTGCTTTTCTAGTCTAGGATCTTATGGTGCCCAAGATAGGTATGTAGCTCAA